CAGTGACACCCACCCACAGTCACACCCATTGATGCACAGTGACACACACCCACTGACACAAACACACTGACACTCAGTGACACACACCCATTGATACCCACAGTGACACACACCCACTGACACCCACACAGTGACACACACCCACTGACACCCACAGTGATAACACCCATGGACACACTCAGTGACAACACCCACGGACACACCCACTGACACCCACACAGTGACATACTCAGTGACACACACCCATGGTGACACACACCCATTGATGCAGTGACACACACCCACTGACACCCACATAGTGACACCCACACAGTGATACATACCCACTGACACACACAGTGACAACACCCACTGACACCCACACAGTGATACACACCCACTGACACCCACAGTGACACCCACCCACTGACACACCCTCAGTGACACCCACCCATAGTCACACCCATTGATGCACAGTGACACACACCCACTGACACCCACACAGTGACACACACCCGCTGACACCCACAGTGATAACACCCATGGACACACTCAGTGACAACACCCACGGACACACCCACTGACACCCACAGTGACAACAGTCATGGACACACTCAGTGACACAAACACACTGACACCCAGTGATACACACCCACTGACACCCACACAGTGACACACACCCGCTGACACACCCTCCTGCGTGGCCTCGCTGATCCCCCACCGGCACCCTTGCTGCTCCGGTTGGCCCACGAGGCTGGCCGGCTGGGTCCCCAGGGTTTGCAGAGAGCAAGAGGCTGTGCCCCCCGAGGCCCTGGGGAGCAGCTCTGTCACGAGTGGGGCCTCCTGCTGGGCGCCATGTGCAGGGAGGGCCCCGTCCCCACCTGGCCCTCAGGGCTGTGCTCAGGACGGGCAGTGGGCTCCAGGCAGGCCCAGTGTCCCCAGGTGGCGGTGTTTCCGGAATGACATGTCTGTCCCCTCCCAGGTGGCCTTCATGACGCTGACGCTCTTCCCCCTCCGGCTCCTGTTTGCCGCCTTCATGATGCTGCTGGCCTGGCCCTTCGCACTGGTGGCCTCCCTGGGGCCCGCTGACAAGGAGCCCGAGCAGCCCTTGGCCTTGTGGAGGAGGTAAGTGGCCCTGAGCGGAGCTCCGCGTGGGCAGGCTCCGCGGACATCTGTGCCGACCGTCACGGCGGCTCATCCGCCTCGTGGGGAAGCGTCCCTCTCCCCCCTGAGCCCGTGTCCCCGAGGCTGCCCTCCAGGTCACGCCAACCTCCCTCTACTTCCTCTGAGGCCACGCGGCCACTGTCCCACATCCCTGAGCACAGAGACCCTCTGCCACTGTGGTGGGGCCTCCTCTGCTGCAGAACTGCCGTGGCTCTGCCAGTGGAGAGCTCTCCCTGGACCCTCGGCCCTGAACAGACCACCCCTGTGACACAGTGACCAGGCTCCTGCTCAGGTGGGCCTCCCGCCTGGACTTGCCGTCGTGCAGTGGACTGACTAGGAGGGCCGTTGCCAGGTCTGAGTACACAGGCGTGGGGGCAGACAGGGCAGCCACGGCCTGTGACCTGGGCTCACCGGAGTGGGCGGAAGTCCGGGTCACCACATCCTGCGAGTCCAGTGAAGACACCCAAGGCTCTGGCTGACCGCGGGCTAGCCAGCACAGCCCCGCGGGGGTGCAGGACCCCAGTCTCGCCCGGGTTCCGAGTTGCGCATCAGGCACCAGCTCTGTGGTGGGGTCCTCGCCGTGCTGTGCTGACCCAAGCTGGCCCCAGCCTTTACACACTGAAACAGGGCTCAGCCTCGTGCACAGATGTGGTCCCTCCCACGGAGGCCCTGGCGTGGACTGTGGAGAACATGCCCCTGGTCTCACCTGAATCCCGGCCACTGCCCTTAACTGGACCTGCCCTGAGGCCCCTGGCTGCTCTCCCTCATCCCAGCCCCACACCAGCCCCTCTGCTGGGACCTGCCGGCAGGGTCGGGGTCCTGGAAGGCGGGACCTGGTGGCGCATGCAGGTGTTGGCAGGAGGGCCACCATCCGCCCTGGGCCTCAGGTCTGGAAGCAGCCACGCGGCTCGTGTGCACTGTGGCCCTTGCCTCTCAGGTTGGGCACCCACCCTCATGCCTGCTCTCCAGGGCCTGTACTTTGACCAGGAGCGTTGGCCCCAGGGGGAGGCACAGGGAACCAGCGTCCTCCTCGGAGCTCAGGTGCCCCTGGTCATGGTCAAATGCACAGCACGATATGGGAAAGATGGCCACTGCGGTGCCCAGGTCTGCCACGCTGCCGCTGGCCGGCACAGTCATACTTGATGGCCAGGTGCCGGGGGTCCTCCCTGGGCCACTGTGGGCAGGTGGGTGTGGTGCCATGCAGCTGGTGCTGATGGCACCGGCTTGGCATCCCTCCCTGCCTTCCTGGGTTTCTGAATCCGGGGCCACCTCTATCTTGACACCCTCTAAGCTCTGCCCGTGAAGTGAGCTTGGCACCTGCTTGCTTGGTGGAGAAGCCCCGCTGCCCGCAGAGCCCCGCCTGGTGGTGAAAGGTCTGGGCTCCTGGCAGGAGGCCCGAGGCCATCTCCACCCACGCTGGCTGCGCCCCCTGGCCCTCTGCTCTGCGGGACCAGGCACCACTGCGTGACACCAGGCTGTCTTCCAGTCCTGTGTGTGCTGCTGGCGCTTCTTACCCTGCGCAGCTCTCTGCTCTCTGCCAGCCTTGCTCCAGGGTGCTCCCCACCAGGGTGCTCTCCGCCAGCCTTGCTCCAGGGTGCTCCCCACCAGGGTGCTCTCTGCCAGCCTTGCTCCAGGGTGCTCCCCACCAGGGTGCTCTCGTCTGCACAGGACACCTGTGTGCAGAGTGCTCCACGGCAGGCAATGAGACTCCTGTGGTGACGGTTTCTTGAGAGCTTTGGCACCTGGAGGCAGAGGCTCATTCTGTGTGAGTGTGGATTCCGGTTGTGTGCTAGTGTCAAGTGTGTGTGGGGGGGCATGCTTGTGTGTCCTGCACCTGCACGTGCCACACTGTGCCACGGGGACCTCCTGACCTGCAGCCCTGGGCCTCTGTGCCCAGCACCTGTGGAAGCACTGGGTATGCTGGGCTCAGTGGGGTGCCCTGGGAACGAGGAGGGGACAGAGGCAGCACTGGCCAAAGTGCCTTCACGGGGCACTGGTGGGATTGGGGAGAGCCGGGACTGAACCACAGGGGCAGATGGGCATCGCTGCTGAAGTGCCACTAGGAGGGCGGGGAGTACTCGCGCTGTTCCCCGCCACGCAGTCCCGCGCGGGCCGATGCTGTGGCAGAGGACATGGCTGAATGAGCTTTGTGTCACTGAGACCCTCCCAAAGTCAAGGGGTCAGTTTTTCAGCCAAAGAATGGAAGCGTGGCAAAAGCTGCTGTTTCAAGTCACGTTAAACCCCACAGCGGTGTAAAAGCTGGGCTCCTTTTGGTGAGACTCCCATCGGGGACTGACTCCCGACAGCCCCAGGAGAGCCTGAGCAGGCCGGTGGTGCCGACGGCTGTGTCCTCCGCTGCTGACCCCTGGCGGTCTGACAGTTCAGAGCAGCCTGTGCCGGGTGCTCTGAGGGGACCCTTCCCTGGTTCTGGTGTCCTTGTGGCTCTCCTGGTGATCTCAGCCATTCTGCTTTTGGTGACCACGGATGACTGATGACTCCCAGCCTCGGCTTCTGTCCAGCCCTGCCCTCCAGCCCCGGGCCCTGGGCCTGTTGATTACTGTAGATGACCTCGCTGTCCCTGTGTCCAGAAAGGAGCTTCCAGGCCCCCACAGTTCTGGCCTCCGCCTCCCACTTCGGTCAGTGGAGGCTCCCGCGCTGTGTGGCCAGGGTCACAGTACCCTCCCCGTACTCCTGCACCCACCCCCGGGGCACGCCCTGACTCCTGGCCTGTGAGACACCTGGGCCTGCAGTACCTCCAGCTGCTCCAGGGACCCAGAACCGGGCGAGCCCAAGCACAGTGCTCCTCTGTTCCCAGCCTGCAGCCGCGGCCCAGGGCCTGTTGCCCAGAGTGAGGGGCCTCCCCGCACCCGCGGAGCCTCTCCCATTCCCTCCCTTCACCCAAACGCGCATCTCCCCCAGGACCTGGCAGGGACTGTGCGTCACCCTCAAGGTCCTGGCACTCCGCTCTTGCCCGGGCCTGGTGCCCTGGGAGTCTGAGTGTCCCTTCCAGGGGTGTCTGCTCTGGGGTCACGGGCTGGTCCAGTGGCGGGCAGCGGGCTGCATGTCCAGAGGCCTCATGCTCTGCTCTGCTCCCATCCTGTGTAGGGGTGGAGAAGTGGGGGGCCCTTTCCCAGCTGGGCGTGCCCCCTCTCACCCTGAGGTCCCTCAGGGTCACACTGTCCCCGGTCCTGCGGCTGGGCTGCGCTGCAGGCCCCTCTCCCAGCTGGGCGCCTGCCTTGTCTTCTCCAGTCTCCTTCCATCTGTCTGTCGCAGGAGGAGGACTGAGGCCTCGGGAGTCTGGGAGTCCGGCCCTGGTCACTCCACCCGGCAGGTGCTGCTTTCCCAGAGTAGAGCCACAGGTCCAGGCCCTGGCCTTGGGAGGGCCATCACCCTGCTCTCTCGCAGGCCGCACCTTGTCTCTGCCCCTGTGTTTTGTGGAAGGCCCCCAGGGGACCTGCCGGAGGGACTTGGACCAACCTCACCGTGCCCTTGTGGACCCAGGACAGACTCCGGCCATGGGGCTCGTGGTTCTCTGTCCTCGCCACACACACCTGTGGCCGGAAGGTGTTTCCTCTCTGGGAGGGCGCGTCTGTCCTGGGTGACTGGGGACTCGTGGGGACCTCAGAGTAGGGGACTGCAGCTCCGAGGTGCCATTCTCGTCATGGAGCTGCATTCCAGCCTCTTCCTTCTTCTCCCTGCACATTCTGGGAGATTTTCTTCCCCGTTCCCAGCCCTGCCAGGGAACTGTCTCCTCTCTGTCCCTGCCTCTGCGACACCTCTGACCCCAGTGGTGGGGGGTCCCTGCACTCTTCTGAGGCCTGGGGGTCGGGGTCTGCCTCCAGGGCTTCTGTACACGGTAGCTCCGGATTCTCGGATGTCCCTGTGAGGAGGCCTGGGAAACTCGATGGCTGCCCACCGAGGCACCCCAGCCGGAGCAGAGCTCTGCTGAGACCACCACCCACACCAGAAGTCGGCTTCCCAGGCGCGTCTTTGCCAGGTCCCGGAGGAAGAGCTGCCAACCTTGACTCTCTTCCCCACCCCACCCCCGGCACTGGGCGCAGCGTTGCTACCCCTGGACCTGAGGCGTGGCCAGTGTCCCTAACGGCAGGACCCACATTGGATACTGCTCGCCCAGCTCCCCGCCCCTCCTCCCCCAGGACTGGCTCCTGGTCCCCTGGTCCCCTGCAGCCTCCTGCGGCCACATTCTCCTCCTGAGCATCAGTGGGTGCCCCAGGGATTGTGTGTGTGGTTATTGGGAAATTGGCACCCACAGAAAGGCCCTTGGAGGCACTCCGCTGAAGTTGAGAGGGGACCTGTGTGAATATGCCCAGCCCTAGAGTAGAGCGTCCAAGTTGGGTCCCCTGAGTCTCCGTGGGTAGCCACAGGGTTCTTTACCCGCAGGTTGGCAGAGGTCTTCCTGGTGGCTGCCCTAGGGGCCTGTGCCCTGCAGCCATGGGCCTCTGCTCAGGTGTGCTGGGGCTCACCTAGGAATGCTCCCGGAGGGTTCTGGCCCCTCGGGGAATCACCAGGAAGGTTTCAGCCTCTCGTTTTCTGTGCAGCCATCTCACCCCCTCTGGCCGGCACTGAGGGCTGGGCCAGCGGAGCCCGGTTCCTTCTGGGGAGCCCTGGACCCAGGGTGCACAGGCCGCGGCTCTCTGGGTGCCTCACTGTTGAGCTCAGCAGGGTGGCTGCTGGTGAACGGGAGACGGCTCCGCCGCGCACAGCAACAGGGACGAGCCCACTGTCCGTGCCGCGTCCTGTCATCAGCTCTAGCAGAAGCAGCTCACATGGGCAGCACCAGGTCCAGCGGCAGGACCAGAAAGGACGTTGCCGCACCGGTCCCAGCCCTGGTGGCCATGTTCCCGTGTGCTAGGTGTCCTCCTGGCTGTCTCCCCCTGGGCATGGCAGAGGCCATCAGATGGGCCGCTGAGCCTGGCGCATAGGTCTTTCATCCCAGCGCGCGTGGTGGACTGGACGGAGCCTTTGGTTGTCGAGAATGAGTGGGGGGGTGGGAGGAAGTCCCTCAGGCTGGGGCGGGGCACACACCCCCTCCGGAAGCTGCTGCTGGCCCGGCGGCCTCAGTCCAGGCGCGGTGCCTTTCCTGCGGCCCCCCAGCCTCGTGTGACGCGACACCTCTCTTGCAGGGCTGTGGACCTGCTGCTCAAGGCCATCATGCGCACCATGTGGTTCGCTGGCGGCTTCCACCACGTGGTGGTGAAGGGGCAGCGGGCGCCGCCCACCGAGGCCGCCATCCTGACGCTGGCACCGCATTCGTCCTACTTCGATGCCATCCCTGTCACCATGACCATGTCCTCCATCGTGATGAAGGCGGAGAGCAGAGACATCCCAATCTGGGGAAGTGAGTGCACCCCTGCTGGGGGCGGGCCGGAGCCCTCGACCCTGCCCAGGAGTGAGGCCCCTGTATGAGTCAGCCCCGATCTCGGGGTGGCCCTTCCTCCTACTGAGTGAGTGAGTCCCTGCTCCTATCAAGTGAGTCCTCCCAGGAGTGAGTCCCTGCTCCTATCAAGTGAGTCCTCCCAGGAGTGAGTCCCCCCAGGAGTGAGTCCCCCCAGGAGTGAGTCCCGCCTTCTATCAAGTGAGTCCCCCCAGGAGTGAGTCCCTGCTCTTATCAAGTGAGTCCCCCAGGAGTGAGTCCCTGCTCCTATCAAGTGAGTCCTCCCTGGAGTGAGTCCCTGCTCCTATCAAGTGAGTCCCCCCAGGAGTGAGTCCCCCCAGGAGTGAGTCCCTCTTTCTATCAAGTGAGTCCTCCCAGGAGTGAGTCCCCCCAGGAGTGAGTCCCCCCCAGGAGTGAGTCCCTCCTCCTATCAAGTGAGTCCTCCAAAAAGTGAGTCCCTGCTCCTATCAAGTGAGTCCCCCCAGGAGTAAGTCCCTGCTCCTATCAAGTGAGTCCTCCCAGGAGTGAGTCCCTGCTCCTATCAAGTGAGTCCTCCCAGGAGTAAGTCCCTGCTCCTATCAAGTGAGTCCACCCAGGAGTGAGTCCCTCCTCCTATCAAGTGAGTCCTCCCAGGAGTGAGTCCCTGCTCCTATCAAGTGAGTCCACCCAGGAGTGAGTCCCTTCCCCTATCAAGTGAGTCCCCCCAGGAGTGAGTCCCTGCTCCTATCAAGTGAGTCCTCCCAGGAGTGAGTCCCCCCAGCAGAGTGGATGAGCCCTCAGGAGATCAGGAGCCCCTCCCTGGGCCTGGGGCGTGCCCACTCCTGCCCTGCATCCCCCACTGCAGGTCCTCCCTTTCCCTCTTCCCCTTGCTATGGACCCCTCCAGGTGTGAGGTCTCATGTGATGAGGCCCGCGTGCCCTCCATCGCAGTCCCCGCAGAGACGCACACCTACCTGCACCCTTCAGTGGGTACTAGTCAGTGTCTCGAGTAAGCAATAGGCGTCGGAGCCCGGTGGCACCCTGAGCTCCAGTGGCCTCGGGCTACTGAGCCCACCTCCAAAGCCAGGTGGCTTGACACAACAAAGTCCTTTCTGTCACCTGCTGGGGGCCGGGAGTCCCATTGTATGTGGCAGGCCCTGCTCCATGTGGCCTGCTGTGCTCCATGCGACAGGCCGTGCTCCATGAGGCCTGCTGTGCTCCATGAGGCAGGCCGTGCTCCATGTGGCCTGCTGTGCTCCATGCGGCAGGCCATGCTCCATGTGGCCTGCTGTACTCCATGAGGCAGGCCGTGCTCCATGTGGCCTGCTGTGCTCCATGAGGCCTGCCGTGCTCCATGAGGCCGGCTGTGCTCCATGAGGCCTGCTGTGCTCCATGAGGCAGGCTGTGCTCCATGTGGCCTGCTGTGCTCCATGTGGCCTGCTGTGCTCCATGAGGCCTGCTGTGCTCCATGTGGCCTGCTGTGCTCCATGAGG